CATATTCATATAAATGTCATATCATGCATGGGTATATGCGTACATAACATAATCAAGCCTCTGAGGGCATCCCATCATATCATCTCGGCGACAGTGGGCGAAGTCATCAATGTATACCAGCTGATCAGGTGGTGGTACGTATATAACGCCGTAACCTTTCCCCATACCCCATATACATATAATATACGCGTATATGACGCCATCTGGTCATGGGTCAATGTAGATTTATAAATGAATGCAATGCATAATGAAGTAAGTCAATAAGATCTTTCGCAATGTCATAAGATGAATATGCCTTAGGTTAATATCATGAAATAAACTTTATTAACTTACGTATTTTTTGAAACCCATGAACAGACGATATAATAATAGGACACATGGGGTATCAAAAACATAGGCACCCCTAGTACTTCTATGAATAGAGCCATTTGTGAAAGTTGCGCATTTGCTCGTTTTGTGTGTTTCATATGGATCGTGCCAAAAGGAAAGAAAGGATAGCCTTATCATACCTTAACCCCATTGAGTCCTTAATACCTTCCAAGAAACTCTTCAAAAGACGCAACTCAATCTACCAAAGTATAAGGAGATTCAATATCAGTGCTGAGTAAAGGCTAAGTCCGTAACTTAAGCTATTAGCTCGTTGACGTAAATTCGGCAGCATCTCCCCAGTAACAAGGGCCTCCTCCAATACCATATACCAACAACAACAACCAGAGAAATCCAGCAACATATAAATATCAATAACAAGACACCATATAACAACAACAAGTCACAACTACTTCACGGCGAGCGGCAAGCTCCGATTGAAATCTGTATAACCCATATCACCCCTTATAGACTTCTTACTTTAACTTAACAGTGTCATTAATATGATAATTAAGTCATTCATCAATGATTCCAATCTTATACCATATATTTATAACAAAGGAAATAATCCACAACTCCAACTATCCTCAATTAACAACTTCATTCACTAGTTCATGTCTAGTCCATCCATTTAACTTAATCAACATCAAGATAACCTTAAGTACATGCAAGAACACAATATAAATACCTCCTATAGTAGCTTCAATTCGAAATCCAAGTTATATTTAGCTTACAACAATCCTCAAAGGCAATGCAACACCATAGAAATTACTTAAGCCAATCTTCACTTCCAATCTCAAGTTTCATATGTTTCTTTCACCAATTCACGTGATAAACATATATACATGCATAACAACAGAAACCATATCCTAATCAAGTTATCTTCCCCATTTTCCAACCATAACAACATATATACACACACACACACACACACACACACACCTTAAAACAACCCAACAAAAGATAACAAGATCTCTTCCCCTTTCAATTGCTATCTTGTAATCTTTCACTCCAACACCACAACCAACATGTAATTAACCTTAAATACCATCAAAATAATGTTAAACATACCTTCAACAGTAGATAAATTTCGAACCCCAAGCTTAACTTAGCTCACCATCATCCTTATTCACATCACAACACCATAGAGGGGTTATTCTTCACCTTTGGCTAACTTAGATGTTGGATTATGGTGTATTTTTTTAGAATTTGTTTGGAGCCTTTTGGGAACTGTTTGGGAGGGTTTGGAGAGTGTGAGGATGGAAGGAGGTCAAAAAATGAACACATCTCATCCCAAAAAACGTGATAAGAATATGTGAAGGTCTGCCACGACCAAGTGGGTCCCATAGGGACTGTCTACGCAGTCTTGCAAAAATGCGAATATCTCTTCACACCGATGTCGTATTGACAAACGATTTAATGCATTGGAAACTAAACTCATAAATCTTCAATATGGTAGGTGGATCATCCCGTAATTCCTAGTATATTGTGAGAAAAGATCAGCTATATTTGACCTAATTTTAAGCATATTTATGAATGTAACTTGTGATGACCTTTGTCAACTTTTGTTCCACAACTCGCTTGACTTCAAAAGTCAAAATACGACTACCATATGACTATAATAACTCATGACATTACCTCATTATCATGTCAAGAACCCTAGTCTCACGCCAAAAGTACATGTCATAACATTCGCAACTTGTCAACATTCGACGAAACTTATTTTCTTCAATTCATTTAGCTTCTAAGCTTTCCAACACTCTTGGTGCTTGTTATCCATGATCTTAAAGATTTGTAACCTCCAAGGTAACATGATTAACTTACTTTATGTACTTTCAAATATAATCTCATTTCTGAGCTTACATCAATTGACTTACGACGTACTCTCATGTATGAAACATGGGGTGTAACACCCTATGTACTCAATAAGTAACAAAGCTAACATTGGGCTGAAAGCAGTGACGAGCTCGAAAGAAAAGTCAGTGTCCAATATCAATAGTCAACAACAACTCAAGATATAATGAAGATAGTAAAAGTAAGTAACTCAAAAATATCATGTTCAACTCGTTCGCAATTACGATAATTTAGACTTGCTTTCCAAGTATGACAATTAAAGCCCAAATCTTTCACCGAGATTTCTGAAATGTGAGTTTTATTAAGGAAGTGATTTCCCAAACTTACAATAACAGATAAGACATTTAACTTACCATCTAGCATTAGAAAAATACATCTCTATGCCTACATGTCAAATATACATGTCAAGTCAATAACATCACAGTGAAACCATCAGGTATAATCACACTCAGCGCGCTCATGGTTCCTGGCAAAAGTGCCCCTCACAATCATGCACACAACCACACTTAGCATTGTACGGATGCCTGACACAAATACCCCTCACCAAAGCATATATATAACCTTGTTCCAGTGCTCAATGAGAATACCAGACTCCGGTTGGTCATATCCTTGCCCAACTGCTAATCAATATCATATAGTCCAATAGTGGGGCTTGGTGCACGTGTCGCCACTAGCCAGTAAAACTTAGCCCAATATAGGCCTGACGTACACGTTACCTCAAAATCAATACCAAATCGGCTCTATAGCCCACGCTAATTCATTAACCATACACATCTCACAGTACGCAGTTCAATAATACTACACATATGAGGCATCAACAACATGTGAGAAATCAAAATAAGAATGTACTGAGATGGAGATGTCATACACGGATATAACATCATGACTGGGAGTATGTTTACAATTAAGTCAAGCAACTCAAAATAGCAAGAGTAACCCTATCATGTCTCAAACAAATAAGCACATTGCATAGACATGATTCGAACATGAATCATAGATCAAATAATCATACAAGTAGAGAGAACACAGGTATAACGAGGCATGATAGCAAACAAGTCTCATAGTAGTCTAAAATCCACCCGCATCATGAACACCTCGGTGCACGCACACACGCCTGTCACCTAGCACATGCGTCACCTCCAACAGATCTCAAATATCATAGTTCTCAAGGATAATTACCCTCAAAGCCATGTTTAGATATGTTATTTACCTCAAAACGTGGGAATCAATACTAAAAAAAGCCCTTCCCACGCGAATCAACCTCCAAACGACTCGAATCTAGCCAATACAACTTAATATCATCAATAAGAGACATAGAAAACAATTCCAAATGATAAAGCTAAGATCTTAAATCAATTATGCAAAGTCAACCCGAAGGTCAACCCTGGGCTTGTACCCCAGAACCCGACAAAACTCATAAATTTTGAATATCTATTCTATTAGGAGTCCAAATATATGTGTTTCAAAGAATTACAACCTCAACTGGACCATTAAATCATTAATTCACACTCTCCAAAACAATAGTCCAAAAACCCCCAAATCCCACCTTTAATTATTACAAATTAAGTGCAATATTCTAAGGATAGTCAATATCTAACAACAAAATCAAGTAAGGATTACTTACCCCTTCAGCTGTGATGAAAATTCCTCCAAAAATCGCCCCTAGGCGAGCTCCACAACTCCCAAAATGAGAAATAACCAAACCCTTCGAAATATAAAACCTTCTAGTGATTCCGCGTCTACGGACACTTAACCGCATATGCGGTACCACTTCTGCGGTAAAAAGGACCGCACCTATGATCCTCTCTTGGATCCTCACATCCTGCATCTGCTGTCACCCAACCGCATCTACGCCTCCAACAACTCGAATGCCCCTTCGCATCTGCGTCCCATCTTCCGCATATGCGGAACTAGCTCTCAAGCTCCTCCTTCTCATATGCAATCAAAAATTCCATAGATGCGATGGCGCATCTGCGCACCCCTAACCGTAAGTGCGATTGCACGAGACCTGAAACCTTAAGCCAAGTTCTACTTAGCCAAAATGATCAGAGACTCATCTAAAACACAACTGGGCCCCCCGGATCCCGTCCAAACACACCAACCAATCCCAAAACATAACACGTACTTACTCGAGACCTCAAATCATACAAAACAATATCAAAACAACGAATCACACCTCAATTCAAGCCTAATGAACTAATAACCTTTCAAACCTCTATAACTCATGCCAAACCGTATTCAATCAACTCAGAGAAGTCTCAAATGACACAACGGACCTATTCCAACTCTCGAAACTACAATCCAAACCCGATATCAACAAAGTCAGCTACCGGTCAAACTTATGAACCTTCCATGCCTTTTTCATTCCAACTTTGGCCAAAAAGCACTGAATCAACCTATGAACCTCCAAATCTAAATCCGGACATAGACCTAAGTCCAAAATCACCACACGAAGCTATTGGACCATCAAAACACTATTATAGAGTCGTCTACACAAAAATCAAACTTCGGTCAACTCTTACAACTTACGCTTCCAACCATGGGACTAAGTGTCGCAATTCAATCCAAAACTTTCTGGAAACCAAGACGACCACCCCCGCAAGTCACATAACTATAAGTAGACATATGAAAAGTATCAAATAGAGGAAATGGGGCTAAAATACTCAAAATGACCAGCTGAGCCATTACATTCTCCCCCTCTAAAATAAACATTCGTCCTCGAATGAGACTAGAATCATACTTGGAGCCTCAAAAAAGTGACGATATCTGCTCAGGATCTTCTATTCGGTCTCCCAAGTAGCCTCCTCGACCGGCTGACCTCTCCAATGAAACTTCACCGATCCTATATTTTTTGACCTCAACTTTCGAACCTGCCGGGCCGAAATGTCCACCGGCTCCACATCATAAGTCAATTCCTCATCCAACTGCACCGTACTGAAGTCTAATACATATGATGGATCCCCATTATACTTCCAGAGCATGGAAACATGAAGCAATAGGTGAACTCTCGATAGACTAGATGGCAAGGCAAGTCTGTAGCCCACCTCTACAACTCTCTCAAGCACATCAAAAGGCCCAATATACAGAGGCCTCAACTTGCCCTTCATCCTCAACCTAATCACACCCTTCATGGGAAAAACTCTGAGTAGAACCTTCTCGCCTACCATAAATGCAATATCACGACCCTTCCAGTCAGCATAACTCTTTTGCCTGGACTGCACTGAATGAAGCCGCTCCTGTATCAACTTTACCTTCTCCAAGGCATCACAGACCAAATCAGTTCCCAACAAACTAGCCTCCCCAGGGTCAAACCAACCAATGGGAGAATGACACTTCCTCCTATAAAAGGCCTCATAAGGAGCCATATGGATACTCGACTGATAACTGTTGCTTTAGGAAGAATCTACTAATAGAAGAAACTGATCCCATGAACCGCCGAAATCAATGACACTGGCACATAACGTGTCCTCCAAAATCTAAATAGTGCGTTCGGGCTATCCGTCCTTTTGGGGATGAAATGCTATGCTCAACTCGACCTGTGTGCCTAACTCTCGCTGCACTCCTCACTAAAAATGCGATATAATTTGAGTGGATCAATCAGAGATAATAAACACAAACATACCATGAAGGCAAACAATCTCAGGAATGTAAATCTGAGCCAGTTGCTCTGAAGAGTAAGTAGTCATGACTGGAATGAAGTGTACAGACTTGGTCAGTCTGTCCACAATGACCCATATTGCATCGAATCTCCTCAAGGTCTGTGGAAGCCCAAATACAAAATCCGTAGTGATATGCTCCCACTTCCACCCCGGAATATCTAACCTCTAAAGCCAACTACCCGGCCTCTAATACTCGTACTTCATCTGCTTACAGTTTAAACACTGAGCAACATACTCAACAATATCCTTCTTCATCATCTACCACCTATAGTTTTGCCTCAAGTCTTGGTAGATCCTTGCGGCACCCGAATGAACAGAATACCGCGAGCCATGGGCCTCGTCAAGGATTAATTCTTGCAACCCATCCATATTCGGAACACAGATCTGACCCTGTAGCCTCAATACCTCATCATCACCAATATTATCCCCCTTGGAATCCCTGTGCTGCATCGTGTCCTATAGGACAAGCATGTGGGGATCATCATACTAACATGCCCTATTACGCTCAAAGAAATACGACCGTAAAATCACGCAAGCAAGAACTAGGCTAGGCTCCGAAACATCCAACCTCACGAACCTGTCGCACAAAGCCTGAACATCCAAAGTTACCGGTCTCTCCCCAACTAGAATGCAAGCAAGACACCCCGTGCTCTCAGCTTTCCTATTTAAAGCATCGGCTACCATATTGGCCTTCCTTGGGTGATAAAGAATAGTGATATCATAGTTCTTTAGTAGCTCTAACCACCTCCGTTGTCTCAATATCGGATCTTTTTGCTTGAAGAAGTGTTGGAGATTCATGTGATCTATGAACACCTCATAAGACACACCATAAAGATAATTCCTCCAAATCATGAGCATGTGATCAATGGTTGCTAACTCCAAATAATACATTGGGTATTTCTTCTCATGGGGATTCAACTGGCGCGAAGCATAAGCAATCACTCTACCCTCCTGCATCAACACACATCCAATGCCAATTTGTGAAGCATCATGATAGACCATATATGAGCCCGATCTCGAAGGCAAAACTAGAACTGGAGCTGTAGTCAAGGCAGTCTTGAGCTTGTAAAAACTCTCCTCACACTCAACAGACCACCTGATTGGGCACCCTTATTTGTCAATTTAGTCAATGAGGCTGCTATAGATAAAAATCCCTCCACAAAATAGCGATAATACCTAGCCAACCCAAGAAACTCTTGATCTCAGTAGCAGTAGACGGTCTGCGCCACCTCTAAACTGCCTCAATCTTCTTTGAATCCACTATAGTCTCCTCAGTAGACACCACGTGTCCTAATAATGCCATTGAGTCTAACCAAAACTCGCACTTGGAGAATTTAGCATATAGCTTCTTCTCTCTTAAAGTTTAGAGCACGATTGTAACGACCCGGCCGATTGTTTTGCCTTCTAGAACCTCTTCCCCTAAATAAGAGTTCCCGTACGTGCTTTTACTATTTTATGACTTGCGAGAATGATTAATATGGTATTTGAAAGGGTTCGGGTTGAAATTGGAACACTTGGTTCCTTAAGGTTGGGCTAAAAAGGCTAAGTTTGATTTTGGTCAACATTTTGGGAAAACGACCTCAGAATTAGGATTTGACGGTTCCAATAGGTTCGTATGATAATTTCGGACTTGGGCGTATGTTCGTATCAGGTTTCGGATGACCCGGGAGTGTTTTGGTGCCTACTAGTGAAAGTTGGCTCTTTGAAGGTTTTTGAAGTTCTTTGAGTATGTTTGGATCGGGTTTCGGATGATCTGGGAGCGTTTCGGCACCTAATAGTGAAGTTGGCTCTTTGAAGGTTTTTGAAGTTCTTTAAATTTGGTTTGGAGTAGGTTTTGGTGATATCGAGTTCCAAATGGGATTCCAAGATGGGGAATAGTCCCGTAATGTCATTTAAGACTTGCACGCAAAATTTGGTGTCATTCCGAGTAGTTTAAGTACGTTTCGGCGCATTGGAAGTAAATTGAAGAACTTGAAGTTTTTATTTATGGTTCAATTAGTTTGGGGTGTGATTCTGAGTTCTAATATTGTTTTGTGCATGCCGATAGTTCGAGCGAGTCCGTTTTACGATTCCAAACTTGTCGGTATGTTCGGGCAGGGCCCCGGGTGTTAAACGGACGAGGCTCGGATCAAGTTTGGACTTGAAGGAAAATGCTAAAACTTTTGCTTCTGGTGTAAACGCACATACGCTTGGTCAGTCGCAGGTGCGAGCTCACATGTGCATGCCACGAGCCACAAAAGCGGACAAGCAAAGGCTGCCCAGGATCCGCAGGAGCGAGAAATTTAGTGCACCTGCGAACGCGCAGGTGCAATGACTGTGATCGCAGAAGCGGTAGTGTCCGCAGGCGCGGGTGAACGGTCGCAGCAGCAGTTGCGCAGGAGTGGCCCTAGCTCCGCAGGTGCGAATTTTGGCCAGCTTGGGGAGGATCGTACCTGTGAGGTTTTCTCCGAAGAAGCAAAACCGCAAGTGCGGTAGTGGCTTCGCAGGCACGGGAAATGTTGGGCAGTGAGGTTGTTCTAAATACTGGACTTAGGCCTTTTCCTCTCATTTTTCACACACTTGGGCGATTTTGGAGCTTCAAAAAGGGGGATTTCAACCTAGCTATTAAGGGTAGGTAATTTCTACCTAATGTGAGTTTAATACATGATTATGGGTAGACTTTAACTTGTAAATTATGGAATTTATGGGTTAGATGAAAAACCTAGGTTTTTGATAAAAATGGGATTTAACGACAAAATTTGTTATGGAACTTAGGGAAAATCATATATTTGAGTTCATGAGGTTATGGGTAACAACTTTCTTCGAAAATTTCCGAAATCCGGGCACGTGGGCCCGGGGGTGAATTTTAGGGATTCTTCAATTAGGATTGGGAAATCACTTTGATAGTTAGGATATGAACTTTTGAACATGTATTGATTGTTTCGTATAATATTTGACTAGTTTCGAGTCGTTTGTCACTGAATATGGGAAAGTAGGCTTTGAGATGAGGCAAGTCTCTTTTCTAACCTTGTAAGAGGGAATTAATCCCATAGGTGAATTGATTAATATGTGCTCCTATTTGTGAGGGATACGTATGCACGAGGTGACGAGAGTCCGTGCATAGCTACTAATTATGCTATTGTCCGGGTAGTCTAGGACCCATACCATGCTATACTTACGATGTTTGCACCCTACTTGTTAACTTTATTGCTTAAACCATGTTGGAACTTGATAAAGGAATTTTAAAAGGTTAAATTTCATTTACTTGAATTCTTGGATGGGTCACTTGACTGTTATTGAGAATTTGTATTTTTTTAAATATCTGCCGCTTAATAAATCTTAAATCGGCTGTTATAAAGTATTTTCTCTTTTGTGGAGCTGGCCGAATGCCTTGGTAGCAAGTAGATGCATCTATGGTTCGTGGCATTCGACCCTCGGAAGTGCACAATTTATATATTTTATGTTGGATCGGACCGTACGACCTCAGCATAATTTGCACGTCATAAATCTTTAGAACCAATTAAAATTGATATTACTTCATTGGCTTGAGATATAAATTTTTAAATAATGGAAATAAACTTGGGATTTATTATTAGTGAGGATTGCCTATTATTTCCTGTGATTGAGCTTTTAGCTATATTATGTAATCCATGCTTAGTTATGATTTTAGCATTTTATTGTTAGCCCATAGTAAGTCAAAGTCGACCCCTCGTCACTACTTCTTTGAGGTTAGACTGGATACTTACTGGGTACATGTTGTTTATGTACTCACGCTACACTTCTGCACTAAACGTGCAGGATCTGAGGCAGGTGCATCTGGATATCAGTCCGGTGCGCATCCTTGATTCCCGAGTCTTCGTGGTGAGCTGCCCCTCTAAGCCCGTTCTGCAGTAGCTGGAGTCTTTCTTTTGCTTGTATTTTCTGTCTATTTCACTTTAGATAGTAGACTAGTATTCTTTTGTATATTATACTAGTTGCTCATACACTTGTGACACTAGGTCTTGGTAGTTAATGCAAGTAGACACTTGATAGTTTTGGGTTATTATGTTTATCTAACTTGCTTTAAAAATCTTGATCTCTCATTTTTATAAATTCTTACTTTTTATTTATGCACAAACTAAAAATCAACTATTTTAAATCTTTAAAAGAAAGGATTACAAAGTTAGTTCACTGTAAGCTTGCTTAGCGGTAACGTTGGGTGCCATCACGGTCTATAGGAGAAATTGGGCGGTGACAACGATCCTCAAATGCTGCTCATGATCCTCCCGATTGCGAGAATACACCAATATATCATCAATAAAAATTGTAATGATGGAATCAAGATAAAGCTGAAATACGTTGTTCATCAAGTGCATAAAAGCTGTTGGGGGCATTGGTCAACTAAAAATACATCACGAAAAACTCATAGTGACCATAGCGGGTCATGATAGCCGCCTTCGGGATATCTGAAGACCGGATCTTCAACTGATGGTACTCCGATCATAAATCAATCTTCGAGAATACCCTAGCACCTTGAAGCTGATCAAACAAATCATCAATACGTGGTAGTGGGTACTTGTTCTTGATAGTAACCTTGTTCAACTACCTGTAGTCAATGCACATCCTCACTGAACCATCTTTCTTCTTCACAAATAGTACTGGTGCACCCCAATGTGACACACTAGGCTTGATGAAACCCTTATCAAGCAACTCCTATAATTGTTCCTTCAACTCCTTCAACTCTATTG